CCCCCCCCATCTGAACCTGTGTCAAATTCACCTCAGGCCGGGCATGGTCCCCATTGTGGTGAGGGGCCGTTGGTGACTCAGTGGCGCTGTCCGACTCACTGGGGCCACCCCCCCCCTTGCTCCCCACACACTCCTAAAAACACCAGCCTATTTGCCCTCCACACCACACTGGGGCAGAGCGAGGCAGTGGGGCTCCCGTTTGGGCGCCCGGCGTGCTTACGCGCAGCCAAATTCGGCGCTGCTGGCTCGTGTCAAGCCCGGGGGGGCAGCTGTCCTAACAGAGTTGTTGACTCGAGTCCGACTTCAGTCGCCGAGGTGACTCGACTTGAGACTCGACTCGGGTTCATTGTTTGTGACTTGAGACTTGACTTGAGACGCTAATTTTGTGAAATTGACTTGTTCGGGTTCATTGTTTGTGACTTGAGACTTGACTTGAGACGCTAATTTTGTGAAATCCACTTGTTGAAAAAATTGTTCGAAAACGCCGATATTGATGGCTTGTACAAAAGCGACTTGACATTTTTTAAATGAAGACTTGAGACTCGACTTGGGACTTGACTCAAAAGTGGCTTTAGGGACTCAAGACTCGACTTGAGACTTGAACTGTAGTGACTTGAGACTCGACTTAGACTTGACAATGACGACTTGAAGACAACACTGTGTCCTAACAAGGTCACTTTAAGGACTCCCTGGTGTCATGGTAACACACACGATGTCCCAGCATTGACAAACCCCATTGGACATATAAAAACCCGCTCTATGGTCTCATGCCATACTCTATAGGCAAACACCAAATGCTCAATGGCAGGGAAACATTGCACAGTTGCATTGACAATAGGTGCATCGGCCAAAGCAAGGAATTCTGTGTTGACGTGCGAACAGACATCGCTGGTGTCTGCTAAGCCGGTGTTGGTGGGACAGCAGAAATCTGTATTGGACATGGCATAGCCTACAATGGCAAATAATCCCTCTGTTTGCACCTGTGAAGCTGCCATTGGTGCACCCAAAAACCTGCACTGAAGGCCTTGCAGAAAACTGCAAATACACTTTAGGACTAGTTGCTTTAATCACCTTCTACTTCCCTGTCAAAACGTACACACACAATGGACTAGCCCGAGATCGCAAAATGAATCTCTAGAGAGACAGGGTGGGTGAAGTGATATCTTTTACGGGACCAGCTTCTTTTGATGGAAGAGAAAAACTTTTGAGAGATACTAAGTTTTTCTTCTGGACCTGACCAGGGCCAAGCTCAAAACATTGTCTCTTTCAGCAACAGAAGTTGGTTCAATAAAAGAGCTCTCGCACTTTATGTCTCTTAAATCCTGTGGCCAACACGGCAACAACAACACTGCAAAGGGAATCTACGGCAGAACTGCAGGAGCCTTAATATCAGTGCTATGCGCTCTAATCACTAGCTAACAGTCTTCTCCAGATTTGGGACTAAACCTCAAGAGTCCTGCCTCCCAGCCCCCTTGAGGCTGCTGCTTTCACAAAAGAGGGGATAGAAAGTAGGAGAACTCCTAATCACAGGCCTCCAGTTCTCTCCCACCATGGGAACAGAAGCCAGGAGTCCTAACTCCCAGTTCCACCCTTCTCTAACCTCTTGTTAATACAAGCCAAACCTGCATGGGTACACAACAGCAATGTCTCTCAGCCTTTCCAGGTTACTGTATCCCTTTCGGGAATCTGATCTGTCTTGTGTTGCCCCAAGTTTCACCACACTTAAAAAAACTCCTTGCTTACCAAAACAGATATAAAAACACAAATGTGTCACAGCATGTTATTACTGGAAAAATGGGGATGAGAATTGACATTTAGGTGACTTCAGAGACTATTTTGGGGAAACTTTATCCATTTTATTGGCCAAAATGGGAGATTTTGGTGGCTACCACTTTTGAAAATAGGGTCTTTTTTTTTTTTTTTTTTTTTTAAATCCCAGAGGCAGGAGGTTTCTCAAGAAAAAATATCTAACTGGTTGTTCTGATGCAACATAAAAATGCCAGTGTTCCCACTTTGGTCTTTAGAGATGAATTTGCAAAGCAGCATAAGGGAGTTAGATGCCTGAATCCCATAATTCAATGGGAGCTAAGCCCCTAATTCTCATAAGCTCCTTAGAGAATCCCAGCCTGCATGTTTATTTTGCTCTCTAGGTTTGGTGCGGTGAGTGGCGGATTCTCCTTCATCAGGTGGTGTTTGTTTTGGCGGCAAGACCGCTGCCGTTGGCTCCATTAAAATGTCCGTGTGTGAGGACATGATGCTGTGCAACTACCGCAAGTGCCGCGTCAAGCTCTCGGGCTATGCGTGGGTCACGGCTTGCTCGCACATCTTCTGTGACCAGCACGGCAGTGGGGAATTCAGCCGTTCCCCAGCAGTCTGTCCTGCCTGCAACAGCGCCCTCTCGGGCAAGCTAGACATTGTGCGCACCGAGCTAAGTCCCTCTGAGGAATACAAGGCCATGGTGTTGGCTGGACTGCGGCCGGAGATTGTGCTGGACATCAGCTCCCGCGCACTGGCCTTCTGGACATACCAGGTAAATCCACCTCACGCAGGGCTTCAACACAATGTCCTACGTTAGCTAGATACCTGCCCAAGTGTCCCTGGAAATATAGATTGGGCTTCAACACAATGTCCTACGTTAGCTAGATACCTGCCCAAGTGTCTCTGGAAATATAACTGAGAAGAGATTCTGTTTGCTAAAGGAATGAAAGATCCCCAAATCAGTCTTTATGGCTGTCTGTACATCATGCATGGAGGGCAGAACTGACACCTTTGAGACTCTAATGGGCCACCTTGTTATGTTTTTGGGCCTGAAAATGTGGAAGAAGCCAAAGGGAGTGGAATAGGATTAGGAAATCCCATTGTTTGATGAGAAATTTGCCCCTCACCTCCGGGTTCAGAATCACCAGAGTGTGGCATTGGCACTTTCCCCTCCCTCCTTCTCTATCCAGCTGTCATAGTAAAACATCATCGCTGTATTCTTGTCGTCCTTACTTGTCACCAAGGAAGGTTCTCTCCATCTTTGCCCACTATGTTTGTTACACGTTCCTTCTTTCCTTCCTCATGTCACAACAGTGTCAAAACACTTCACAAACGTTCATAAATTGTTCTCAGTCCTGTAAGCAATGGGCCAGTATTACTATTTCTATGTGCAGGGAATTGAGGTACAGACATTAAAGCAACATTTTTCAGCATCCATTTTAGGTGCCTCCCATTTAAGTGTTCAACATGAGAGCCAGATGACCTGATTTTCAGCGATGCTTTGCATCCCACAGCTCTTACCAGCTTCAGCTGGAGTGTGGCATAGTTAAGCCCATCTGAAAATCAGCTCTGTAAATCATGCTACTATATCTCAAGTGGAGAAACTTGACTTTCCTTTTGACAATCCAAGAAGCTTGTCACACCTGCATAATTCCCACAGGTTCACCAGGAGCGCCTGTACCAGGAATACGCCTACAGCAAGGCCGAGGGACACCTGAAGCAGATGGAGAAGGTGTACACCCAGCAGCTGCAGAGCAAGGATGTGGAGCTGACTTCCATGAAGAGTGAGGTCTCCTCCCTGAAGAAGGTGCTGGAGGAGTACAAGAGGAAGTTCAGCGAGCTCTCTGAGAAGCTCATGGAGCGCAACCGCCAGTACCAGAAACTCCAGGGTCTCTACGACAGCCTCCGCCTGCGCAACATTGCTTTGGCTAATGAGGAGGCTGCCCACGAGCCTCCCATGATGCCTCAGCCTGCTGTCTTTGGCTTCCCACTGGGTAAGACCTAGGGGTGTTCCTTGTTCCGCTACACACAGAGGTCGCAAAAGCTGCCATAAGAAGACACTACATTGGGGAGGGAACAAGGATTTAGTTGGCTATAGAGACTGAACTCTTTTTCCACGCCATAGGACAGGACGAGCCACGTGTATGTGTCTGGAAAGGGAGAGCTTCCCACGGAGCAGTCTCCAAATGCTGCCACATCAGTAACCTCCAAATACTGTGAAATATTTGATTGGAGATGACTGTGTGAGACTAAGTCCTAGGTTCTCAGTTGGGATGATTGTCCATGTTACAAACCCCTCTCGTGCTAACAGCCCCCCTCTTTGGCATCCTCAGCAGAGAAGCCAAGGACTGAATGGGCCATGGAGATTAAGATTCTTTCTCGCCCCGCTTAGATTTCTGCAGAACATGGATTAATTGATGTTCCAAATCCCAAAGCTTTGAACATCCCTTGTGAGTTTCTCCAGTCTTAGCAGTGTGGTGTCACCAACCCACAAACTTTACTGTCAGTCTCTGGGTAATTTGCTGTGTTTTTAAAAATGGGTACATTTTTCAAGGTTTCACAGAAAAGAGGGAAACAATGGCCATAAATGCCACAGATTCAGAAGGAAAATTGCTGTATAAGAACCCCATGATTTTGTAAGCAAATCTCATGAATGTGTAGGGCAGGAATCTTGAGCATTGGCGGATGTTTCCCTCTAGTGGCTCTCTCATCATTAAAAGGTTTACGAATCCAGATTCATAGAATTAGGCCTAAAGGGGTCAGGCCTCCAAATCTCACCATTTCTTGTGACAATTCCAAACTTAGCCCCCGCATTTAAATCAAACCGTGGTCACACATGGTCTTCGATTTGAAGACTCTTTGCTCAATTCCCAGATTGTCACACTAAGGTAGTCACGGATGTCTGTCCTGATAGGGAATCCAGCATCCAACTGACTCTCTGACTTCCCCTTCCTAGGTAATGCTTCCAGATTCCCCGGGGACACCACACCTGTCCGGGGCAGGTGTGGGGAGGGAGACTTCCACTTCAAACCCTTCTTTGCCACATCCCCGCCTGCGGGCGAATCCAGCAACAGCTTCTTCACCTTCGCCTCTCCCAGCAATGAGTTGGAGCCACATCCTGGAGCTAGCAGGGCCTACAAAATGAAGAGGATGTAGCTGCCTTTGGAAATTCAGCCCTTCGGTCGATTGGGGAAAGGACGAAAACGCTAATTGTCTGGGCTGCGATTCATCTCAGAATTGGGGTGTTTCTATTGTAATGCAATAGCCCTCTGATTGTTACCGCAGATTGTCTTGCCCTCTCATGCTAGTCTGTACTTCCCTGTCTACAGGTCTGATCGAAGTCTGATTGTCAATTCCGTTGTCATGACCTGTCACCAACAGTCGGTAAACCTCTCCCATCCTTGGATGGTCCCTCTCAGATTGTGAAACTGACATCCTGTGATTGTAGTGCCCCATAACACTTGGATGGAGATGAGCCTCAAAGGCACTTACATGCCTTTGAAGATCTGGGCCTGGCTCCATTGTACTCTGCTTAATGGGTTACAAATGTATCAATGTTTTCCCTGTGTGAGAGAGGATCTATGCCTGTGTGTGAGTGTATGGGTGTATGTGTCTCTATGAATGCATGCAAATCTATGTAAGGGTATGTCTACACTACCACCCTAGTTCGAACTAGGGTGGTAGTGTAGACATACCCTAAGTGTGTATCCTGTTGTGTGTTTGCCTTTGTGCATGGATGCAGGTCAAGCTATTCATGCGTTTGTATAAATCTAGATATTGTGTGTTGTCCACATGTGTAAGTCAGGATGTATTTGAATCTGTATGTTGGTGTATCTTTCACTCTTGTGTATGCACACAGATATATACGAGGGTGAGTGTCACTTGCCGTGTGTGTGTTTATCTCTGAATGTCAGGTGCATACATGCATAGCTCTGGTAGGTGTGTTTTTGCTTCTATAGCTATGTTTGTGTTCACGAGTGCGAGTACTTCTCAGTGTTATCAACTGTGTACATTCCATTCTGTCCTACCTTTGCTGTTATTCCCCCCCCCC